CCATGCAACCCTCTTGTTTTATTGGCTTCATTTCTCGCTTCCTACCATTCTTCTCTTTCCTGCTCTGGTTTTACCCTGAACCTTTAGCCTGGACAAGGCTCATACACACGTTTTAATACCGTGCTCACTCCTAAACTCAATAGTTTTTAGATGTAAAGTTAAAATGTCACCCAATTGCTGTTTTATGTCTTTGCTTAGGTTTAACCATCAAAAGTCTGAATTTTTAATGCAGAAATTGAAATTAAACACGTTTTTATTGTTTTACTTATTTGAAACAGTATTGTCAGACTAACGTGTAAAAAAGGAGGAACTGAAAAATGAAAGAAATCTAGAGAAAAGTTTGCTTGTTATAATCTGTTTCCAACTGCTGTCACTGAAATACTCGTTTGAAATCAAACAAATCAAAAACCAATCAGGCACATTTTACACCACACCGGTACCAGGTTGGACTCTCTTTAGTCTGTAAAACCGCCTTAAATCTCCGGTCAACAAAAACTTGGAAACATTCCCTAGAGATTTCAGTCCATTGTCATACCGTTAACATGATGGGAATCTCCCTCATCCCAAAGGTTCTGGACGAGATTATGATCCGTTACTATGGAAGTCGTTGGGAGTCCAGTGAACCCACTGCAGCTTTCGGAAGATGTGTCCACTGTGGTCATTAAGGGATGGACTTGGTCAGCAAAAAGACTCAGGTAGGCTCAGGTGGTGCTCATATTTATCTCTGACGCCATCGAGACATTTTCACCCACACAACTGTCGCTTGCTAGCCTAGAATCTAGACCATCAGTTGCTGAAGCAAAATTATTTTGCTCTGCATGTTGGCCTAGCCACGCTCCACTGGAATCTCCACAGTTCTGGACAGCCTGGTTCTGGTCCAATCACAACGCTCTATCGGTTTGGTGGGTGGGATGTTGCATCTTCTTGGACAGTATATGGCAGACTGCTCTGTTGACTGACATCTTTAGCGGTCAAATCACATTGCTCTATGGGTTTGGGGGTCCAGTCACAACGCTCTATCTGTTTGGTGGTCAATCACATCGCTCTATTGGTTTGGTGGTCCAATCACAACGATTTATCGGTTTGGTGGTCCAATCACAACGCTCTATCTGTTTGGTGGTCCAATCACATTGCTCTATCATTTTGGTGGTCCAATCACATTGCTCTATCGGTTTGGTGGTCCAATCACAGCGCTCTATCGTTTTGGTGGTCCAATCACATTGCTCTATCGTTTTGGTGGTCCAATCACAGCGCTCTATCTGTTTGGTCGGTGGGATGTCGCATCTTCTTGGACAGTATATGGCAGACTGCCCTGTTGACTGACATCCTTAGCGGTCCAGTCACAGCGCTCTATCGGTTTGGTGGGTGGAATTATACTGCCACTGAGTGAAACAAAGATGGGAACGGCTCATTTGGCATCAACTTGGTCTATTTAGATGTGTGCTTTAATTCAACTCAATTCAATTCAATTTTATTTATATAGCGCCAAATCACGACAAGAGTCGCCTCAAGGCACTTCACATAATAAACATTCCAGTTCAGGTCAGTTCATTAAGCCAATCAGAAATAATGTTTCCTGTATAAGGAACCCAGCAAATTGCATCAAGTCACTGGCTAGTGTCAGTGACTTTACAGCAATCCTCATACTAAGCAAGCATAAAGCGACAGTGGAGAGGAAAACTCCCTTTTTACAGGAAGAAACCTCCAGAGAATCCTGGCTCAGTATAAGCAGCCATCCTCCACGACTCACTGGGGATGGAGAAGACAAAGCACACACACACACACACACACACACACACACACACACACACACACACACACACACACACACACACACACACACACACACACACACACACACACACACACACACACACACACACTCACGCACGCACGCACACGCACGCACGCACACACACAGGTCCTTCAGTTATTTGCATGTGTGTGTTCTTGTTTATACTGGAGCAGGACTGCAGCTGAATGCCCATCCCACTTGCTGCTGCCAACCACAAAGCTGAGATATGCAGCTGAAGCCAGGGGTGTTTTTGAGGTAAACATTTCCAAGATAGATGTGAGAGCATTGTATAATTCCCCGTGCTTTTGTCTTCACCTTGGCAGAGTCTTGACGATGAGGGACTACCAGAGAGAGAGGAATGAGGAGTAAATGTCCAAGAGAAATGAAAGTAGGAAGAAAAGATGAGAAGCAAAGATGAAAAGGTCAAACACTACCCACTCCCTTGTTTTGTGTCTCTTTCATTTCCCGCTCGCAGTGTCTCAATCTGAATTCTCTCTTTCGTGATGTTTCAACTCTTCTATGTGCCGTCAACACGATTTTCTTCTCATCCTTTCAATTTTGAATTCAGTCTCAGTCCCTGATAGAGACATAGGCCTGATTTCAAGTGACGCTAAAGACCTTCAAGTGTCGCTCTGGATTTCACACTGTGGTCAACAGAAGCAGGAAAAAAAGAAGAGAGGTGGGGGCAGAAGTCGGAGACACATGGTGAAGGATAGGATTGGAGACACAGGGCGGGGTTTCCTCCGAACTCACCACCAGACCAACAATGGAGCTGCACGGGCCGGTGGAACATGGTAAATGCAGAGAAAAACTCAAGTCTGAGTTCATGCAACAAATGTCAGCTCTTTCATGGCCTCATTAAACAAAAGTAAACACACTTATAGCGGCTGGTGGGCTAATTAGCAACTTTTCTTTCACACAGTAAATTAAAAACTTGTTGTATCGTGCAGTTAACACCTCTTGTCTGTGTTTATGAGGGTTCGAGTTGACGTTTTTTTTTCTTGCCGCTGACACTTGTGGCCATTAGGAATGTGCAGTGTCGTTATAGTTGACAGCACCAGTGTGTAGCTGTGGGAAAAGCATCCACCCGCAGGCTGTCCCTATTTTCAGACACACAGGAGACCCAAAGCAACCCTGATTGCACACACCCTTGGCCGCATGCTAGCCTCATTCCCCAGCTCTTAAAAAAACAAAACACAGCTCAACTTGAGGCAAAAGATCAGTGGACACTCGGGTCAAACTACAAATTTGCTTTTAACGATTGCTTCCAAAGAGCACCCCCCCATCCGCCACCCATCCAGCTGCTGTGGGGATGCAGTTATGGGTGGCTGATGCCCTCCCCTCCATCCCAGCAGACCAGCAGGGTGGGAGGGGGAGAACGGAGGAGTCCATTGTCTTCAGCACCTCTAAACCAAAGAGTTTGCACTAAAACATAATTATTCCCCCTCCTCTCTTTTTCACTCTATCCCCATTTGCAGCTGCTGCTCTCTGAGGCTCTAATTTGGGTCACAGGCTTCAGAATGTCATCAAAACACTCATTCAAAGACACCGCCATGAGACTCAAATACAAAGTTTTAATAAGTAATAGGAACAATTCACTTGTTTTTTGTGTGTAAAAACTATCAATAATCATCATCTGATCTTGTTTTCTGTTTTTATTTTTCTGAATAAATGATTTTACATAATAAAACATGGAATTCTGTAAAGTAAATATGTCAGCATGGTTTAAAATGCTTTTTACTGTGCTCAAATTATAGAAAGCCTCAGTTTATACAAAAGTTGGCAACACTTTAAAATAAGGACCCCTTATTAAAGTTACTTAGTGCTTTGTTAAGCATTAATAAACAAAGTATGCCTTTATTGACATTATCATTATTGTTAACTATTGGGGTTTCTGCTTAGTAATTCATTACTTAATATGGTTAAGCAGCTGTTAATACTTTTAAAAACTGTTTATTACTGCTTAATAATGCACTAAGTGATGCTAATAAAGGAACTCTTATTGTAAAGTGTTACCCAAAAGTTTTTTAACAAGTCTTAGCACAAATTATTGTTAAAGGTGCAGTATGTAAGAACATAGTGAGAATTTTACAGTAGAAAAATCCCAAAAGAGTCTAATGTTTCAGTCATTTAGGAAGAAAGGTTATACCGAAACATGTTTCATATCCAGCAGGCTGTGGGGATGGTCAGTTTTTCTCCTTTCAAAACAAAAGAAGGAGGGACGTAACTTCTGTTTACCATCAGTGAGTGTGGGGTTGCCGTGTCTCCTGCGAGCTAATGCTGCAGCAAAAAGGTCCAGAATAAGTGGTTGCAGTAACCATATTTTACCACATGATGTCATTTTTACTTCATTTCTACATAATGCACCTTTAACTTTTGAAGATTAGAGCTTTTTAAAGACAACATTTATCCACTTTGTTCTTGGCTAGTTTTGACTAGCCGTTAGCTCATCAATCATGAGGATATGAAAGCAAATTCTCCAAACTGACAACTTACAAGATAATTATAGAGATTGAGTTATTAGTCAAAATAGTGATTATTTTAAACTTTTATACACAAATGTATCTCAAAATGGTAAAATAAAGTTCATCTGCAGAATCTGTTTGTTCTTGGTTGTTACCACAGCTGCTAATAAAAGGGAGTTTATCTGCACAAGTGGTGTAAAACAACAACTGCATCAGCAGGAATTTAACTACGAGTGCGCGAACACGCAGTGCTTCACACCAGGGGCGAGGAAACACGCAGGATGCTCCCCATACAATCAGACAGTGACACTTCACACGCTGCTGTCAGCTGAGCAAAGATAACACACACACACACACACACACACACACACACACACACACACACACACACACACACACACACATACGCACGCACGCACGCACGCACGCACACACACACACGCACGCACACACACACACACACACAAAGATGCAACAATGTCAACAAACAAACCATCACACACAAAATCTGGCATTTAGAGATCTGCTGATGAGAAAGATTCACCCTCTGTAAACGAACACGTTTGCTCTGCAAACATGAACCTTTAAGTGTAAAATGATTTCCACGATTACGGTTCTAACTTCTCCTGGACAGATCTGCAGCACAATCCAGTTTCACCACAAAGACCACAGTTAACTTTGAAGGAACCATGTGCCTTTAATTTGGATGAACTCTAAGAAATGAAACGTCTCCTCCTTACCAGTGGGCATTGTGGCTTGGCCCCTTTTACAACTGACGTGTCAAAACTGAAAGACTTTTTTAAAGTGATGATGAGTAAGTTCAAGCTGGACGTCCAGAGAGGGATGCATATCCAGAGGTTTCTCCCAAAATTCCACACAGGCAGGAAGAACAGATATTCCTCAGATTTCCCCAAATCCCAAAGTCATTGTGGATCTCCTTTTATTCAGGAGCTAAAGAGGAGTCCAGATCCAGGAACAGGAGCACTGAGGCTGAGTTTTCTCCTCAGGCTCTTTTCTTTCACTCTCTTCAGTTTGCCGAAAATCTCTGTTTCTCTTTCAGAATGCAGCTCTGCCTCCCTCTCTCCTGCATCCACTATGTGTGTGTGTGTCTGGAAGTGTTCAAGTGTTTGCATGTGTGTGTGTGCGTGTGTGTGTGTCAAAGTGAATGGCCTCTGCTCTCTCATGCTCCCTCCCTGCTGGGTATTCCCCTCCCCCTGACTCCTCCTCCCTCTCTCTTGTTGCAAATTACAAGGAGCTGGAAGTTTTGTCTGTATGTTTTTGTCTTTTCTTTCATATATTTGTTTATTTTCTTACTTTTTTTTAGAGTTTCTGCCCCCCCAAAAAATCAACTTTTGACACATTCTTTTGTGCTTAGCAGGTGACACATTTTACTCTTGCACGCTCAGCAGGCGGCTGAACTGCTGCTGTCCGAGCACAACTCCACAGATCACACACACAGGCACACACTTAGGAAGAGAAAGAGGGGGTTATGTGGATGATCAATGGGCGGTGAGTCGGGTCAGACAAAAGCTCCTCGTCCAAAGAGAGAAACCGCGCTGCTTACTGTGTCGTAGATAAGAAGAGGGCTGGACAGAATCAGAAGACATAAAAAAGAACAGCAACATAAAAATTGTTCCAATTTTGACATTTTTTTTTTAGGAATTTTTATTTTAAAGACACTTTCTTTACAGATGCACCGATCATGGATTTGAGGAGCCAATACCAATTTCCAGCTCTTAAGCCTGGTTTATACTTCTCCATCTGTGGAAGTGCGGAGACCCACAGCACCATTTTCTGTCTAAACAAGGTCTCCCCGACAGTGGAGTAAGTAGAGACCAGTTTTTAACTAAGCGTCAGACGTCAGAGACTGGTCGGCCCGACAAAAGCAGCTCTCGCTGAATTATTTGTAAAAAAATAAAGGTTTCATTCCTCGAGACCAAGCAGCTCCAGCTCAATTAAAAACTCGCTCTCTGTCATCGATTGCTCCTTGAGGGGATTGTCGATGTTTACAAGCCTTTTAAAAACTTTATTAAAGTGCAAATGTGTGCTTTTATCTTTAATCTCTGAAAATATCCATCGAAATATTGATGAAAATGAATAAAATGACGTTCAGTCATTGGAAAATATTGGCAGCTTTGTAACATATAATCATAAAAAAATCGGGTTTTAAGTCCATAGGGCGCAGGTCCAAGTCTCTGGGGGACCCTAAAAAGAGATGCAAAATATTTTGTCCGTGTGGTATTACTGTAGTCATCGGCAGGTGCAGGACCCCAAGCAGATCCGAAAAACTACAACGTCAGAAAACTAGCATCACATTCTCTCGATGGAATTAGCTGATGGAACATCAAAGTCTGAGGATTCACACCGAGGTTGCATGCTTTATGCTTCACAGGTAACACTTACCATATATTTCTATTAAACTAGCGATAGACACATTGATACAGTGTAAAATTACCCTGAAATATACTATATGTACTTCCCCCGGTGCCAGGAAACTACACACTGCCACTTTAACAAAAAAATGAACAATGCCAAATCCTGATTTGAACTTAAAAATAAAAAAATTTCTATTAAAATTCACACTTCCTTCAAAATATCTGCAAGTAAATAAACAATTGTTGACCAGAGATGCACTACAATGGTAGGCTTTGCAACACTGATGCACCAAAGGAGATGTATAAAAGGAAAACCTCTCCATCAATACGTGTGTGAGTGCAAACCTGGTGATGGAAAAGTATAAACCAGGCTTCATTCCTCTCTGACCTGCTGCAGAGGATGTTTGCTGAGTCCGACTCATCTAAAGAACAGGAATTTCCAAAATATACATTTCTTTTCTTCCAAATTCTTGTTAACTTTGCTGTTATGATTCTGGAAGTAAAAACTTTTCTGATCTGTTATTGCAAACGGGAATTAGACCTATGCAGTCTGTGAGCTTAAAGATATCGTCCATTTTCTTCCTGCTGCATGGACACGCTGCATTCACAGTCCGTCCCCACAGAGTCCGATTTTTGGGTTTCAGGCTGAGTGATCATCAGTTAAGCCAATCACGTTCAATACTGTCTGACTGATTACCGACTGTTTCATTAATGTGAAAATGTTCCCGTATTTACAGCACAGAAAATTCAATGTTTGGGCTATTTGGAAGCTGAACTGGTTCAAAAGACGTAACAAGGAAGCAAGCATAGCTCTTAACTCACATTAAAATGGCCTGTATTTATATAGTGCCCTCTAGTGTTCTTCAACCCCCCAAAGCGCTTTCAAACTAACCAGGTATTCACCCATGCACACACTCATTCACACAGATGGTGATGAGCTACAATGCAGCCACAGCTGCCCTGGGGCTAGGCTGCTGCACACAGGTGCCGCCACCAGGTGGACACACCAGCAGAACTCTCAGCAGGGAGCCAGCAGACTAAAACAGAAGTCCATCTGAAATGTTTTCATTATGGTTGTTATTTAACATTCCATTTTTTTCTCATCATGACCTCAATTTTAAGAAAATGCAATCTAAACATAATTTAAGTGTCGCTTTGTGTTGACTCATACACATTTTGAAATTCACTTTGAGGTAAATTTGAAAATAATTACTATCTTACCAATCTAGATATCTTCCAGAACAGCCTCTGTTTGGGGAAATAGAATCGATACACCCTGCTAATTCAATCAAATTCAATAGTCCAAACCAGCACAAGCCACTTTGTGTTGGTGTTGCACTAAAACAGCGTCTGTCTTCAAAAATTCACAGCGGTTTAGATTATTTTCTAATATGCTGCACAAACATCTTTTTCTATTTTTTTTACACAAACACATTTCAAAACAGCTTCCATGAAATTCACACACACACACACACGTTTTCAGACAACAACTACGCAAGTGTTTCTACTAAAGCTGAAACGTCAAATAAAAACATAGAATCTGTCTCAATTATACATTTTCCAATTAGCACAATGTTTCCCAGTCACTTGTTTGGGTTCATTTTGGCTTTGAACCAGTAAAAACAAACAACCCAGACGGTTGGAATAAAGCCGTTTTACTGCCTTTACAAGCACAAGGGCACCAAACTAAAAACACTTGGAATCAGATTACACACACCTCCGACTGCAGCTGCTAATAAACACGTGTTAAAGCATTTGCTTCAAGTTTAATCTTCGAGTTATTTGGGATTTAGGCTTTCACAAAACATGGCAAATGGTAACCGGCCTGTATTTGCATAGCACCTTCTAAAGCTTGGTTTATGCTTGACGCATTTACTTTCCGCGCGGTGATGCGGCTCGCGGATGGAACGCGCTTCACAACTCGCAGCTTTATGGTTCGTGCAGCTTGTCTCTGCGGTGAGCCAATATTCTCCCAAACTGTAGGGGGCAGCATGGAGCTCTACTGCATGCATCCAACACTACACCATAGTAGAAGTAGAAATGACTGTTTACAACATGGCATTTCAGCATTTTTAACAGCGTTCTCGTCTTTTTCGACAGTGCGAGCTATTTCTCTCCAAGAATTATTTATAACATGTTGATCACGGTGATCTCTGAGAGCTGAATCATACAAATGTCTGTATTTACGAACCTCTGCCATACTAGTTCTTGCCGGTCCGCCATGTTTTTCCACGTCCGTCCGTCCGCGTGGTTAGAAATTTTCCGAGGTGCGCGTTGCGGAAATTCTGGGCCATGCGGAGGCGCGGTGGAGGGGTGTGGTTGTTAAAATGACACAAAATGACGCAACTTTTCCGTGCGGAGCCGTGCGGACCTCGCGGACGCGTCAAGCATAAACCAACCTTTACGGTTCTACAACGCCCCAAAGCCCTTCACAACACAATCAGTCATTCACTCATTCACACACACGTTCACACGCAGATGGGGATGAGCTACGATGTAGCCAGAGCTGTCCTGGGGCGACTTGACAGTGGCGAGGTTTGCCGAACACTGATGCCACCGGTCCCTCTGACCGCCACCAGCAGGCAAGGTGGGTTAAGTGTCTTGCCCAAGGACACAGCAGCAGCATTCTCTGGTCGGAGCTGGGATCGAACCTGCAACCTTCCGATACTGGACAACCTGCTCTTCCCCCTGAGCTACTGCTGCTCCTTGCATGTTGCCATGCAGCTGCTGCCAAAGATTAGCTTCGTAAATTAGCAACAATTCCCTTTATGATTGGATTATTATCCAGAGGTAGTAACATTTTTTAAGGTTTTAATTAACAATAATAATTGATCTCATAGCTAAAATGTTCTAATGATGAATAAAAGGACTAAAGGAAGGAGTTTAACAGAAACAAATCTATTTTATTCCCAGCACATCATACACTAACTGACTGTGTTTGATGTCACACAACACAAATAAATCAGGACAGTCATGGCATCCCATCAGAAAAACACACACCAGACAATACACTCTCAGTTTATTGCACCAAAACAAATGTGTTGCTTATTTATTTAATGACAAGGACTGGGCCCAGCACCATGGGGGTCCTACAACGACCCCCTTTCTTCTTGCCTGTACCTCAATAGAGATCCCCTGGACGACCGTCAAAAATACGTACAAACACAACTGACCCCCGAGCACCGTGACCCCTCTCTTTAATGGTTTGAGGGTTCATTGACCCTCGAAGGCCTTAAACCTTCCCTCTGAGTCTAAACCGTTCACCTGCTGCCCCTCCCCCCTCTGCCGCTCTCATCAGTCCCTCTGTAATGAGCATATCCAGCTCAGCAAACACTCAGAGAGCTTCCAAACGCCTCAGTTTAGCTAAGCACAACCTCTTGATAACATAAACATACGGCAGCAACCTCCCTTATCTGATGCCCTCCATGTGCCCCCATACCCTCAACTCCAAATCTTTCATCAGAAAAAAACCAATACCTGTGTTGTCCAACTTCTCGTAGGTTTCTCAGATTCCTCATCAGCTAAAGTATTGGTCACATAACAGATTATCAGTCAATCAATCAATCAATCAATCAATCAATCAATCAATCAATCAAAGCTTTATTTATAAAGCGCCTTCCGCAACCCTGTCAGGAAGCCCAAGGCGCTGAACATGGTACAGTAGAAGTACATAAATAGTGAATAAATCAAAAATAAAAGCAATTCAAAAATAAAAGCAATTCAAATTACAAAAAAAGGTGAAACATTCTAGTACAGGACACATGGGTAAAACAAGGGATAAAGTGAACCAATGAAAACTGTGAAAGAAATTGAACGTAAAAGAGGGCCGAATCAAACATGTTCAGGAAACGCCAAGCGGAGAAGGTGTGTTTTTAGGCGACTCTTAAAGGCTGGCAGAGATGGGGACAGCCTAACTGAGGGTGGCAACTGGTTCCAGAGAGACGGTGCTAGGACTGAGAAAGCCCGGTCCCCACTAGTACGACACCTAGAACGAGGGACAGCGAGCAGGCCTTGTTCAGAGGAGCATAACAGATTATGCCATTTTTCAAACCTGACATTAACTTAAACATCAGCAGAGAGTTATTTTAGTGAGTACTTTGAAGTTTCGGAAATTTTATCTGAATATATTTTGCCAATAAAATACCAATAAGGGATTTTTCTTGACCATATCTCATCAAAATGAAACACTCATCTAGCACAAAGTCCAGACCGTCATTTGCAGAAGCAACCCTAACCCTGATCCTGTATTTTCATATATGTAGGATGGCTTGCCAGTCTAGTACTCAGCAAGAAGCGGGAGGAAACAGGGAGCCTTACATTTCCAGAGCGGACAATTTTGATGAATGCAAACATCAAATGTAGAAGTAATAGGAAAGACTTCATGTTTGTTTAAAGGACTCAAAAGGCTCCTTGGTGATAGAGAGCGATAGATCTGCCATAGTTCTGAGCTTTTATTATTGTGGTTGCAGCATATCTGGGGCTAAGAAGTCAGTTTTGTGTGCTGGCACAGCTTGGTTGTTGAGAATTTGAAGCAGGTCTATCCATACTGGCCTCATTGAGCACCATTACACTAGTGGTGTTGTTGCTAGTGGGATGTAGTCGTCTCAGACTTCTACAGTTGTGGGTGTCTCTCATGGCATTATTAATGCTGTGGTTCCCAAACTGAGGTTCGTGACTCCTCCAAGAAGGTCCCCACAAGATTGTCTGTGCTGAGGTTATGAGGTTAGCAAGATTTATTTGTAAAAATGACATTCATAAAATCCCAATAACACACCCTAATAAAAACTGCAAAAGTTAGAACTCTGTATGTCTGTATAAAGTTTGTAAATGAATGATTTTTTTGTGTATGTACGTGTGTAGGAGTTGGGTTTGGGGGTCCTGGCTTGTCTGGGACACAAGCAAGGGGTGTCCTCAAGGAAAACTTTTGAGTACCAATGGTTTAGAGCATGGTGATGGTACAAAAGATCATTCTGGGAACATAAAAAACAGCAAGAAAACCTGTTTGAGGAGTATCAAGAGTGTAGCAGCATTTAGACTGCCTTCACTAAAGATGATTTTTTCAGATGGGGAATGCGCCAAGGTTTTGTCCAGTTGAAGGGTTCCCTCAGCCAGTGTTCATTGGGCCCTGTCCATGAACCACGCCATTGCAAGATTTCTCTTTTTCATTGCATTAGTCGTGGAAAATTAAACACTTTCTCTGGTCGGAGCTGGAATCGAACCTGCAACCGATTACTGGACAACCCTCCTTAGCTACTGCTGTGGTTGACTTGTGGATTATTCATACAAATGAGTGAAGATGATATCATCAGACGTGCAAAATAACAGGTATTTCTAAAATTTAAAGAGTTGCTGGTGAAGTAATGGGAGTAAATAGAAAATATATAGTTTCCATTCATCACTTCCATGGCTGTGTACTACAACATGGTATCCATCCCTGCTTATTCCAATCTCGCTGCTGTTGGGACATTTTGGCACTGACTGCAGTTTGCTGACATCATGGCACATTCCTTAACGGTCCAATCTTGTATGGAGACACAACCGAGCCCTGTCACTATACGTCCTTCCAGAAAAGTCCCGGTTCTCATCCAAAGAACACGCTGCTACTGTTGCTAAGCATGTTGGGAAACTGTCACATTGGCCCAATATGGTTTGAGGGTCAATTTTGAATAAACTGAAATACTAACTGAGGTGCTATGATTGAGTTGCAACAAAATTAAACTGCACTACTGCTAGAATTGGTTGTCATTCATGTCAGATGCCCGCAATGACCTTATACACTCAACCTATCTCCTCCCCTTGGACCCCTCGCTCTTGCCATCTTTCTTCAAGCATTCACCTCTCAACATTACTTCTCCCTCTTCAAATCTAAAAAGCTAAAGCAAGACCAACTCTTTTCCAGAGGCACACAGTCTCCAACACCTTTTTATGCATCTTTATGATAAACAGCTAATGTGATGACTGGCAAAGTGCGTCACTTTGACAACAGAGAGGCATTCATCTCTACAGCCGGTAGTGATGGAGCTAGAAAAAAAAGATTGTCAATGAACAGCTTCATTCCTAATAATGCAAGCGCTAAGGGGCTAAAACACATACCATAGAAGTGCACGCTAAAAAAATACAACCCCCTGCTATTATTTTAGAGTTTTGGGAGAAAAATCTGTCCATCCATGTAAGTATGTCAAGAAAAGAAAAGAGGAATTCAAGAGAGGTGGAAAAGTGATTTAATGGTTGTGTCCAATCTCCAGCTCAAACAGTCTGACAGCTTCTTCATTTTCTCAGCTGTCCACAGTTTTAAGTGTTTCTGAGGCAACAAGAAAAAGCCGACCGAGATTATTAAGAGAAATGCATCAGAGTGTGAGGGAGACTGTGACTAATGACATGAGTTTGTGGGTGGAGGGGTCATTCATGTACGGGTTCCCCCTCCCTCTGAGACGCTGTCGTCCTTTGTCATTGCTGAGATGGATCATCTGCAGAAACACACACTACTTCTTTATCGGCTCCTTTTAAGTGTCACTTACACTCGAAGCTTTTCGTCCATCTGCCTGAAGTCTGCAATAACAGTTTAGATCTTTGTTCTCCTTCAATGCAGTGGTACGTTTGAACAATGGTCTGCATTCTCACACAACATCCCACCACTCGGTGTCCAGCAAAGCAAACAACAACACAGACCATGTCTTCTGAAACAACACAGGTGTTTTTCACATCTGATGCTACCAATGTAAGACCATTTGGCACCTAAATATAAACAAATGCTATTTTTGGGGCACTTGCTAAAGATGGTGATGCTCCAAATGGCTGGGGTATACACCAGTGCACCATTTCTCAGGCCTAAAAGTTGCCCACATCACAGCTAAGCTTCAGATGGCAAATTTTGGAGTCTTGTATCCTGATCATTTGGACATCTCGCCCCGGACTGGATAACAGCATTACAACTCTACCACTGACTTACAACGTGGATGTTTTATCTCCTCAAATAACACAACCCCGGAGGACATTCTGCCATTTGGTGAAGTTGCTAAAGCTAACAATGGTTAGCCGAGACGTCTGCTGCTGATTCCCGGACGCTAAACCAACAACAGCCTTCCTCGTTGTGAGTCAATATCGATGAGTGCATGAATGCTAATTCACCAAACATTTTAAACATGCTAACATAAAAGTCAACAGTCAATAAAAATATTTTTCCACCACAGGTTTCAAAGAGGAGAAATCTGCCATGTTTTATGGGGACAGATAAAATACATTTATGACAATGACGTCATAGCCTCACATCTAATCTAACCTACGACCCCATGAGTCAGACATAACTCACACCCTCATCTTTTTCCTTTGTTTACAAATTCTGTGCCGGCTTCGAGCATTCTATCCTGTATTTGATGAGTTCTTCATGACAGCAGAGCACAACTAAGGATCGTTTTGGTGTGGAGGAAGATCTTTCTAGAAACAGTATCGTGTTTATGGGGACAAGTTAAAGAGCAGCAATGAAGAATCTTTCCAAAAAATTGGGAAAATGACTTCCATGTGACCTTGGCAAGGTGCTCTGGCTTTACTGTCAACTCTTTTCACTTCAAGCATGTAACAAATGTGACGTTTAGTTTTAAACTTTTTGTTGATAGTTGATCACAGCTTAGGCTCCTATTCGAACGTATTTCATTTGGACTCTTCTGGGGTTTTGAGATCCTGTCTATCCAGACATTAAGCTAACCAATTGGGATTTAAAATATGACGATTCTTCTCATTCTGAATATTTTCATAAACAAATGTAAATGACATTTGCCTAAATTTTTCTAGAGCTGATTTAAATCCTGCTGTGCCATCAGTTACTGTTGGAAAATAAACATATTAGGGACAAAAATAGTTAATGTGGTTTTAATTATAAGTCCAATTCATTACTAATGTCTTTTCTAAAGCTTTAAACAGAAGAAAAACATGTTGATTGTTTTGTATAAAAAACTAAGAGGGCCGTCCAGGTTTACCCAGCATGACTCTATGAATATTGAACTTGTTGAATAATAAAAAAAATCATTATTTGAAACACTCATTATGTTCAAATTAATTATTTTTCTTCCACAGAACAAGTCAGTTATAAAATCTCTATTAGCTGTATTGAAACTTTTTTTCTCACAAGTTTAAAGAACAAGTCACCCCCTACCAGAATATTACTCCACTCCCACTTCCTGTTTGAAAAATGCAAAAAATGCTGTTGCCTAGCAAACCGAGAGGGTGGAGCCGCTAACAAACACACAAACACACACAGGCTCACAATGACATTGTGACATCATATGGTACCAGCTAACATTCTAAGACACCTCTTAGCCAATAGCGATGGCAGATTTAAATTCAACTGCAGTGCAGAGTTTTTACCTGACAACGGCACAACACAGACAGTTTTAGGCAGAAAATTTACGTTTTAACTAAAATGCACGAAAGTGCAAAACTATTGGCTACACGTGTCTGTAGCACAATTAGACACGCATTTATATAGTTTATCAGAA